AAATCCATGAAGGGTGGAATGTGATTCACTCATTCTTTGTCGAAGATTGACTCCGTGTGTAATATGTTTTACCTTGCAACTCCTCTACTTGGAGGGATGAGCATCACTTACTTTTCTAGCTTTACCAAAGGCATGAAGAGTGAGTAGTTTCTCATCCAATATTTAGTAAGAGGTGATGGACATGTATAATTATCTTAAAGTTATAATTGTGTATTTTGGTTTATGCTTAGCTCCAATCTTCATTTCTTCATAATGTCTTATCATTACATTGTTGTCTTTACCTTAAGCATGAGTAGCTAAGCCTTTAAATTGGCTAATCCAAGGGAAACCTCCTCTTGGGTATGCCATTTCAACTCATTTTTCTTTCTCCTCTCAGAGTATGATGGTTCGGTTTGACTGGGTAGAGGGTGGACTGGATTGTGAGTCTTTGATATCCCGTAGACTTGTCACGAGTTATGCTTGGATCCTCACTTTCATCTTATCCCTAGCTTCCCATGAATCAATCGTACATCTATGCTCTATTGGAGGAAGGATTCAATTGACTTGGTAGTCCCATTGGAGTGAACCTTTTAGATTAGCCAACATTTTTTCCATTCCAATTTCGTTAAGAAAAAATCACAAACCAAACCTCAACAACAAAAAATTTTACACTTTGTTTTTCACCAGAGTCACCGTCAAAATGATTCACCTCCTTTCCTGAGGAGACGACCTTGGAATACGATTCCAAGTAAAACACGACAGGCAAAAGTCTCTCTGCGCTTGGGGAGCATTTTTGTTCAAACACACACATTTGACATTTTATTCATCCACCATTCTGTTGCCCTTTCTTTTGACATCATTCCAAGGGAGAGTGACACTCACCTTCACACACACCATACATACATTGAGGGATGATGTCTAGAGGTTAGGATATTACAACAGAAATTACCAAGCAGCCCTCCACCGGTTGTCATACCATATGTAATGCCATGCATATGCATCCAAACATTCTAAGCTCCCGTCATTGATGTTGAACATCCAATGAACATTTTACAAAATCTTGGGTTTTTTTTTTGGGTGGGTATTTTGTGGAATTCCACCAAAGGACTACCAGCCCACACGACATTTTGAGAACATCTCACCCCAAGCTCCATGTACGCCTACACACTTTTTCGGTATTTCACCATAGGGCAAGTGCGTGAACTAAGTAACCGGGCCTTGCACCTAAGGGAGGATCTATCCCTTTTTGTTACATTTGACCTTTGTTTTCAGTGCAACCCATGCGACTCAGTCGAGCCTAGATCCAACTTTTTGGAGCCCACGTATCAACCCACCAAGGATGGTGTTTGATCAAATCATGCACACACACCCACACTCATATCACATGCCGACGAATGTGATACTTTTCGTGCATAGGCATATGTAATACATGATTGTAATTAACATGTCATGTTTAATATGTCATGAGCCCATTATAAAAAATTTCAATGTCTATCAACAATTCTCAATTTTATCAATTGTCAATTATATCTTAAGCATAAAATCACAATACACAACATCACCAATGCATGTTATATAATTTTTATCCAAATAACATACTCAATCATTCAAGGCATTTTGTCAACACCTAAGAGACATAAAATTATGTAAACACATAGCATGTCCAATTCATCACATTTCTCATGAAAAAACAGCAAGAAATTTCAACAAAACCCAATCATGCAAAATTGGATCAACATGTTTCTATACCCATTTTCCATACTCTAGCTACACTAGGAGTATAATAAACAAGAGATTTCATCCCTAATCATTCTACCCATTCCATATACAACCCTATGTTGGAAACAAACCTAGTTAGGAAAAGAACCCTACCTCTTGAAGCATAATACACATAGTAGAAACTCCAATAAACCCAACTCAAGCCTCAAGGCTTTGATCCCAACAATCCCACTCTTGAGACGTTTGCAAAACTGCAATCATTGGTACGTACTCGTAGCTCTCGTCACGTAGAACAACTTTTGTTCTTGGCCCGAAGGAATCCGAAGAACGGATCACCCTAGATCGCAAGGAGAAGCTTGAAGAACTTGGTTTTCTTTTCTCTTTCTCCCTCTCTCTTTCCGGCTATGTTTGGTAGAAAAATGGGGAATAAAATCTTATTTATTCTCCTTTTATATTTTCCTTTTACTTGGCCCTCAACGCGCCACATGTGTCTCTTTTATTTGGTCCAATTTGATCTCGTATCAATTAAACTTTGTTCTGGTTTAAGTTTAGCACATTTTATTTGAACTAACTTTAAATTAATTTTTATGTTTCATAATTAAATCTTGATTGCATTTATTTTAGTCACGCAATGCTCGATCGCATTGTAAGACGTAAAAATTATGACTATCTTGGAATTCGAGAAAAATTGACTGGATAACTAGATTTCATGAGACAAATCCAACAGTGAGGTCCATTTTGTTATCTGAGTACTAAAATTTTTTCCTTTTTAACCTGTACCTAAATAAGTAATTACCATTTTACCCTTTTTAATAAAAATTTAAATTTTTCCCGATTTTATATTCTTCCCCCCTTAAAGGAATTTCGTCCCTAAAATTACACACAGACATGCACATATAACAACATACATATGCAATATGTCATACATTACTCTATGGCTACGAGACATGTACCTCCAATCTCGAATAAGAAGGATAGGTGGCACAGATAATGTCCTCACGCTCCCATTATGCCTATTCCATACCATGGTCCTATCTGCATCAACAACCAGCTCACCCTAATCCACCATATGCGTAGGATCTGGACTGTACTTCCGGAGCATGGAGACATGAAACACCACTTGAACACCCGATAGATTTGGTAGTAACGCTAACTGGTAAGCGACTGTGCCAACCCTTTCGAGTATTTTAAAAAGATTGATATACCTCGGTGACAGCTTCCCTCATTTCCCAAACTTGACCACTCCCCTCTTAGCATCACCTTTAAGAAGACCTAATCTCTAACCTCAAACTCTAGAGGACTTTGCCGCTTGTCGACGTAGCTCTTATGTCTGCTTTGAGCCATAAGAAGACTCTTCTGTATTAAGTCCACCTTCTATGAGGTGTCTTTGATCAAGTTTGAACCCATAGAAGGTCTCTCTCTAACCTCCATCTAACAAATCAGAGAACGACACGACCTCTTATAACGTGCCTCATAGGGTGCCATTTGTATGCTTGCTTGATAATTGTTATTGTAGGTGAACTCCATTAAGGATAAGTGTTTTATCAACTACCCTTAAGATCAAAGACGCATGCCCGAAGCATGTCCTCTAAAGTCTGGATGGTCCTCTTCGACCGATCGACCAACTGTCTGGGGATGAAAAGTTGTGCCCATCATCAACTGTATTCTTATAGCCCGTTGGAAGCTCTCCTAGAAGTGGGCCATTAACCTAGGATTTTGATCTGATACAATAGATATGGGTACCCCATATAATTAGACTATCTCTCGTATATATAACCTACAAAATTCCTCAAATGTGAAGGTCATCCACATTGCCAAAAAGTATGTCGACTTAGTAAACCGGTCCACAATCAATCACACCGCGTCATGCCCACGCAAAGTTCGTGGTAAGTGGTTCACAAAATCTATAGTGACATGCTCCCACTTCCACTCTGCCACCTCCAAAGGTTAGAGCAACCCTGCTGGTCTCTGGTACTCAACTTTGACGTATTGAGACGTGAGACATCTATTAACAAAGTCTCCAATGTGTCTTTTTATTCCATTTCAATAATACTGGTGGCGAAGATCATGGTACATCTTCGTGTTGCCTAGATGCACAACAATAATACTAGATGCACAACAATAATATTGGATGCACATCAAAATGGATGCACAACAATAATACTAGATGCACAGCCAACTAAAAGTCTAGATACTCATAGTAAAGGCAAGAACAACCATAATGTAAAGAAGCATGTTAGTGAAATGAAACATGTATTGATGCAAGAAAATTTTTAAACTACAAGAGCAAATTCATTCATACCCAAACTACAAGGCTTGAAGATAAAATACCCAAATGTAGAAATGGAAATGGAAGCAAACTTAGTTAAGCTTGATTACAACTTGAATAAAATAGTTTAGAGTGAAAGAGAGAAAGATTACAAGTAGAATAAAGCATACTACAATGAAAATGGTGAAGGAAATGTAAAAACCTAATTTTCTCTCTAAAGTTTCATCTTCAACAATGGAGCTTCTCTCTCTAAAAGCATGTAAAAACTGAATAATGGTGTAAGACTCTAAATTTCATCCATCCTCCCTCCTTTAGCATGTGTAAACTGAATTGAAATGATTGGAGAGTGGTTGGACACTTGAACAAGAAAAATCAGTCCAAGCATGCTCCTCCCATGCTTTTCCAACCACCCCTATTCTCTCTTTTGTTTCTCCCCTCTATATTACTTCAAATTTGACTTTAGGGGTTAGGAAAGCATCATGGGGTGTCAAACATTTCGGGATATGGTTTGGAAGATAAGAGGTGGGCCCTCGAAGTAGGTGGAGTCGTGTGAACAAGTGTCTAATAGATTTGGGCCAAACCTGCCGATAGAATGTAGAAAATCTACTGGTAGATTTTTTCTAGTAAGATTTTGTACTAGTAGGTTTTTGCATGGTAGAGTTAGAAGATTTTCAGTAGCATTTTCTACTGATAGGTATTGAGTCATCTACTGGAAAGTTTTGAATGACTTCTACCAGTAGGTCTTTGTTGCCTTCTACTGGTAAGTTTTGTCCTGCTTTGGGATTTTCTTGGTTCCATGAGGTTCCGAGCCATCCGTTAAGCGGTCCCTTCTTCCCCATTTACTTTGAGCACTTGATGGGATGCTTTATACATGACCTTACTTACCTTTTACCTACAATCACACAAATATCCATTAATTGTGAATTTGAAACCATTTTCCCTAATTTTCACTACAAAAAAGTAATATGGGTGCAATAGAGATGTGTGATGTGCAATATTCTATACTCATCACTTGACTTACTGTGACGCTATCATGCGTAATGTGATTATAGAGTCTCATGCTAGGTCCATCAAGGAAAAGTATGAATTCCAAAGGGGAGTAGTGGTTTCCTCCCCTTCCAAGGACGAACGTTGCCACAACTATTGCCCTAGGAATGTCTTTTTCTTAGGTGACGTTCCATGTTGGCCTTAAGTTTCTTTTACATCCTTTTATTAGAGCTATTTTTTTCCATTTGAACCTATGTCCTACTTGGTTATCCCACAACGGATGGGCCATGTTGGTGGGAATGCTCGTTCACTTGCGTGAAAGTGGGAACATTTTCCCTCTTACCATTCCTGAGTTCCTCCATTTCTTTTAGTTAAAACCTTATCCTTCTATGGGCTTTTTCTACTTCACTAAGAGGGTTGGTTTGCTTGACTTGATTGTCAAAACCCCTTCTTCTCATAAGCATTGGAATGAGGGTTTTTTCTTTAAGTTTGGGGATGCGAGGGAGTTCAAGGGGAAGGTCAACAAGAGTCTTCGGTTTCCTCGACTCTAGGCTTCCTCCACTAATTGGAGTAAGTTGATCATTTGTTCATTTTTGTTGAGGCTTATGCTGATGGAGCCTAATTGCTGACCTATTGTGGCTTTTGTACACAAGGTTTGTGCCTCCACTACTCAAGTTTGAGGAGGCTTACATCAGCATGTGCAAGAAGAGCCTGTCACTCCTAAGAAACTTACAAATACCATCTCTGCTTGGTGAGGGAAGATTCTATTTTTGGTAAGTATTCAAGCTTTGCTCTTTCCTAGGCTTTGTGGCCATTTTCCTTATGCTTATTGTTTATACTTCCCTTCTCAGGTCCTGCCGAGATGACCCCAAGCAAAATTTCTATGAAAAGTGTGATGGAGGCAACGAAGGGAAGTGAAAAAGAAAGGTTGGTAAATCCTTCCAAGAGGTTTAGATACTTAGTGAAGGGCCTAAAGATGTTCGAGGCTAAAATTTCAACTCCTGCTACTACGGTGTCTAATCCCCCTCCTACTGAAAACATGTCATCCGACAGGGATGTCCATCCCAAAAGATCTGTTACCACCAAGGAGAATCTTTCTTTAAAATGACCTAAAGAAGTTTATAAGGAATAGGTTGCTTGAAGAAACAACCTCTCGTGGCTTAGAAGCTCAAGCACAGGGGAGAGCTGACACCTCTCCTAATCGTCAGGAATCCAGTGAGCCAGGCGGGGGCTTGGATACTTTATTGCACAACCTTTCTTTGGTTGCTCTTCGAATTTTGTCTATGTTCTCCATGTGTGATCTTCATTAGGTGGACAAGTGTAATTTGGAGACATGAAAAATGAGATTTTGAAAAGTTCTTCTTAGTGATTCCTTTATGTTTCCTTTATGCATACTACTACCAATCTGAACTCCCTTTCCATGATAGTCTAAACGCTGGAAAAATAGCGGAATGACAAGGCAACTGATGCTAGAGTGGCTAATGAGCTCAACAAGAAACTGACCGACAAGCGGAACATCAATGAGGCATTAGAGCTCGATTTGAAGGATCAACATAACTAGAAGTGATCTGAACTTTCTGAGGCTGATGCCAAGTTAGCTTATGCAATCCAAGTTGCTGAGAAGGCCAAGCCTAAGAAGACTAAGGTCGAGGAGGAAACGACTCTTTTAAGGGAGCGGTTGGGGGAAACCACCAAGAAGTAATCAAACTTAGAGATCTGTATACGTGCAAATGGTGATTAGGTTATGAAGAAGGTCCAGGAGTTTGATCAGTATAAAGATGTTGTATTAGAAAGCTACATAAATGAATAAGAGGCCTTTAAAGCCTAGGCAAAGGAAATGTATTTCGATCTCAAATTTGAGTCATTTGAGTCGTCGGCTTCTTCTACTTCCTCATCTGAAGATGAAGAAGAGGGAACTAAGAATTAAACTGAGAAAAAACTTGATAAGGAAGCCAAGGATCAAACTAAGGAGCATTCTTGAAGGCTGAAGTTCCTTTTTCTCCTGTCTCTTCTTTTTGCGATCTTTGTAAAAAAATTTATGCATGTAATGCAATCACTTCTTTTTCCTTTTCTTATATCTTGTGCAAAGACTTTTTGTAATTCCTAGACCCAATTCCATATAATTCAAAGCGTTGTTAGCCTCAATAATCAAATTTTAACTTTCGAATTGTTCTAAAATGTTATAACTATCAAAATTACAAATGTCGATATCCGTATACTTACAAAAAATTTTAACATTATTCCTTTAGCAAATCCAATAAGTTACATTTCTTCGAATCAAAGAGCAACAATGTCTCTTTCTTGCCTAATTTCCCAAACCCTAACTTGCTACAAGTGTTAGAATGCCCTTTTCCCTAAAAAAGATGTAATTAATGTAGGGTGAGCGTCAACCAGCTCAGTAAGTTAATCTAGTTTTGAAGAAACAAGGTTTGAAAAATAGCATAACTTTACAATGATTGAGATTTAAATCAACATTTGAGCATATGCACATATGTGACGCCCCTAAAATCGGGGGTCCTTTTTAAACCATTGACTACCCGTCAACCCACGGAAGTACCCGTGATTGTCGCACAACCCGACATCACGTTAATAGCATCCCCTTAACTGGGATCATAACCCATGTACATTTTTACCATTTGACCCAGTCAAGGTCCAATATATCATGATTTATCCTTATTTTATATCCATATATATCCTTGTAACTAAAAAACTCAAAGTCCAAAAGTATGACAAAGCAATTTTAAAGTTTTCAAAATTTTGGAGGACCTACCAATAGGTTTTGCCCACTAAAAATTCCTACAGGTAGGTTTTGCTTGATAGCAAAAATTTTGCATATATAAGATCTTATCGGTAGGTTCTACCGGTAGGCGTTACCCACTGGACAACGATCTACCGGTAGGTCCTACCAGTAGGTCTTGCCCAGATTTGCCTGTTTCACCTATTTTTCATTTTCAATTCATTTCAAGACTTAATATTTCCATCCAACACATGTATATTGAAGATTCTTTAGTTAATACAAGGTCCATACCAACTTTAATACATTCATTTCCATGAATTTACATCTCAAAACAATCATTTACAAATACTCAAAATAAAGCCACATCCCGGCTTCTTCATCCATGAGGTCCCATGTGAGGGCCATCCTCCTACGTGTATCCCACACCTGAAATATTTTTCCCGTATAGGATAAGCCACGCCCAATAGAGTATTTCCTAGTCCCCAACCTAAATGCATATGAAATGCTCACATGCAACATTTAACACAACAACCATTCAAATCAAGGTTAAGCAAGTCAATGTGGGGATCTAATATGTCATGCCATGATATGCGATAACACCCACTCATACGACTCGACCCGAGCCCTTCCTGGCTCCTTTCACCCATGCAATGCTATGAGTATAAAACCAGGCTTTCGAAGCCTCCGCTATTGGCATTACACACCCAATGACTATTTTAAAGAAACTCTTCGGGTATTATAAACTTCCACCAACCCAACTGATACAGAATTTATGAACTTCCACCAACGATTTTGCGTACATCGACACATTTTATGGGCTCTTATACCAACAGAGTGCGTATCCGAGTCACTAGGTCTCTCACCTGAGGGATAGTCTAGCCCTTCTTGCTAACCCCGACCTAATTCTTTTTCCATGCAACCGTGCGACTCAATTGAATCTTCGATCCAACTTTTTCGAGCCCACCCATCATCCATCTACGTGGTGTTTGATGTCAACCATGCACACACACACACACACTCATGTCCATGGATGCGGTTCCTCTGTACAAATTCAATGTAATACATCATTTCTAGGTCAATGTCATCTCCCATATGTAATGAATGTCATATGAGCAAATTTAACCACATATATACATGTTCCATGCATATAATTACCAATTTCATCACAATGTTAATGTGTCAATAACATACATCAACCTTTACATCCAACAACATATCCCAAGGATGTTATTGCGTAATATATGCCAATAACACACTTCATTCACAAGGCATAACATAAACACATAGCATGCCCACATAATACCAATTTCCATGGAATTACACAAGTATTTTTCATATATTAATTCCAAGTTAGGAATTTATTTCAAACCATTTTTATACCCATTTTCTTTCCTATTTTCAATACCCATTTCATCAATTTCACAAACATTAGTAAGTGTTAAGTCCCTAACAACCTACCCATCTTATATAACACTCTAGGTTAGGAATTAAACCAAAGTAGGAATGAACTCTACCTCTTTAAGTGTAAAATCAACAGTAGAACCTTCAAAAATATCCCCCAAGTCCAAACTCTTGATTTCTCAAAATCTCGTCTTTGGAATCTTCAGTGAAATCTGTCGTTTTTGGTGTGGTCGCATAGCCCTCGATGCGTAGAACAATCTTTGTTCTTGGCCTGAGTTGATTAGAGCAACAAATCTCCGTGGATCGTAGAGAGAAGATGGAGAGAACTTGAGTTTTTCCCTCTTTCTCTCTATCGGGTAGCGACTCAGTAATTGGGGGAGAAATTAAGATTTTTTCCCTTTTTTATACTTCTCAATACTTGACCCACAATGTCCCACACGACCCACAATGTCCCACACGACCCTCAACGCGCTACACAACCCTCTTTTTTCGGGTCCATTTTCGCCCCGTAACGATTAAATTTCGTCGCAATTCAAGTTCTAAATATTTTTATTTTTAACTTGCCTTAAATTATTTTCCAAATTTTAAAATTTTATTAAAATTTTCATTTTTGGTTTATCCGAAACTCTACCACCTCGTAAAACGCAAAAAATTTGACTAACTCAAAATTTGATAAAATTTGACGAAATAACTAAATTTCGCGAGACGAATCCAATAGTAAAGTCCATTTCGTCATCCGAGATCTAGAAAAATATAGGTTTTTAACCTGTACCATAGTAACAAATTATCGTTTTGTCCCTTTTGTAAACAATTTAAATTTACCCAAATTTTACATTCTTCCCCCTTTAAAAGAATTTCGTCCCCGAAATTTACACACACTTAACCACATGCGTATGCAACAATAATAATCTACTTAAAATTATAAAAATGTACCGCCATCTGCGAATAAGAATGGATAATTAGTACGTATGGTGTCCTCACGTGCTCACGTCGCCTCCTCCACACCCTGGTGCTGCCATAACACCTTCACTAGGCTCACAGTCTTGCCTCGCAAAACTTGCTCCCGGTTATCCATGATACGTACTGGTCCCTCCTCGAAAGTCTCATCCGCATCAACAATCAACTCACCCCAATCCACTACATGTGTCGGATCTAGAGTATACTTCCGAAGCATAGAGACATGGAATATCGCATGAACACCCGATAGATTTGGCGGTAACGCCAATCTGTAAGCCACTGTACCCACCCTCTCGAGTACCTCGAAGGGCCCGATAAACCTCGGCAACAGCTTTGCCTGTTTTCCAAATCTAATCACTCCCCTCTTAGGCATCACCTTCAAGAAGACATGATCTCCCAACTCAAAATTCAAAGGTCGCCGCCGTCTATCAACATAGCTCTTCTGTCGGCTCGGATCCGTGAGAAGAAGTCCACCTTCTCTGAGGTGTCTGTGATCAATTCCGGACCCGTATAGGGTCTCTCTCCCACCTCCGTCCAGCATATCGGAGAATGACAAGGCCTCCCATATAGTGCCTTATAGGATACCATCTGAATGCTCGCTTGATCACTGTTGTTGTAGGCAAACTTCACTAAGGGTAAATGTTATTCCCAGCTACCTTTAAGATTTAGGATACATGCCCATAGCATGTCTTCTAATATCTGAATGGTCCTCTCCGACTGTCTGTCCGTTTGAGGATGAAAAGTTGTGTTCATGATCAATTGTGTCCGCATGACTCATTGGAAACTCTCCCAAAAGTGAGTCTTAAACCTGAGATCCCGATCCGATACAATAGATACACGCATCCCATGTAACCGGACAATCTCCCGTATATACAACCTGTAGATTTCCTCCAGTGTGAAGGTCATCCGCACTGCCAAAAAAGTGTGCCGACTTCGTAAGCCAGTCCACTATCACCCACACCACGTCATGTCTCCGTGATGTCTATGGCAAGTGAGTCACAAAATCCATCGTG